CAGGAAGGTAAAACATTGAGATTAAAGGATGTGGGAAAGATAGTTGTCTTTTTATAGAAAGAATGTGGAGTAGCCCTCCCTGCCATTTTTACAATGAGGAATTGTCGTACAGAGTAACCTATTAGTATCATAAAGATTATATGGGCCTAAAAGAATTTGGGGACATAAATACTGTTTTATATTGGTGCAGAACACACAAGAAGAGAGAGGTAGGACAGGAAGTTACCAAAGTCACAAAAGCGTTTCTTTGGTAAAGTGTTTGCTATTGTGCAGAGCTAAGCCAAATCCCCTGGGGATTTCCCAAGAGTAGTGACGACTGGACCCAACATACAGGATTCCTCTAGCTAGACACTCCACTTTCCACATCATTGGAAGCCATTTCAATGTCTGAAGGTGGGCTCATGTTGACATGCTTCCTTGAATAACTGAGTATCTAGGGTGTCCATTATAGATGTTGGAACAGAACAAATTTCTAAGAAGATGTATTCACATTAAAATAGACTACTAAGCAAGAATAAAATTTCATCTCCAGGACTGCCTTCTTACTCTCAGCATGCATCCCTTTGCATATGGCTGTCTCTAGCATGAAAGCCATGGTCGGTCAAGTCTATGCTGCTTTCTCTTGCTTGCTGCTTCATCTTCAGCATAACCACCCACAACACATAGAAGGCCAGGCTCCTACAGCTTTGATCACCGCTCAGATTAATTCAATCATTCTTTCACACCTGATATGTACATGGTACTGCTTGAGATGTTATTTTTAACAAGGAATAAAATAGTTAAAAATAATTCTATCAGAAAGCTTATATCAAAAGGTAAGTGTTAGAGAGATGAGTCACAGTCATTAAGAGCTCTTGCTGCTCTTTCAGAGGATCATGGTTTGACTCCCAGAACCCACATGGTGTCTCACAACTACCTGTAATTCAAGTTCTAGTGGCCCTAATGTTCACATCTGGACTCTCCAGACACTATAAACCCATAGAGTACATACGTACATTCAGGCACAACACTTAGATGCAGAAAAGAAACATAAATCCATCTTACTTTCAAAGTAGAAGAAACACACAAAAGAGCAAATAAATGAACACAAAGTAGACTTAATCGCTAGCAGTTGTATGGGAGAAAACAAAGTTTATAAAAAGAGTGAAGTCAGGGGAGAGGGGGAAAATGTCATTTTGCACACAGGGTTATGAAATCTCTGTATACGATGCATTGAAAAGGTTGTAGTGCAGGAGTAAAATCACAAAAACACCACACAGAAGGCATTCCAGATGGGACACTAGACACCTCAGTCACCATTAGGCATTTGGCCAGAGCTGTTACTGAGCCCAGAAGCAACAGAAAATTATCATAAGGGAAATGTCATGAACCTGCTTACATTTTCAAGACAGGATTATATCACTTGATGAGTATAAAGACTGAAATGGAAAGAATAGAAGCAAGAAAAGCACTGAGGGGACAGTTTAATACTCTAGATGGATATTGAGGTATATAATCTAGAGGTTGTAGTGTGACTGAAGTGGTTGTTTGTATGTATGTGCCCTATGAATACTCTAGCTCAGTGTGTGAATACAGATATTTTTATTGGCTATATCTACACACAACTGTGTGTTTAATGTATTATGTATATACACTGATTTATACTATGTATTTGGTAATTTGATAATGATTTAATGCTGATGCCTTAAGAACATTTGTATTGTTCTCCACTGAAACAAAATAAGCTTAATATCACTAAATTCAGGTTTTAATCCTGATGGAAACTATGAGATAGTGTTGGAGGGAGGAGACCGCTTGTTGTCCCAGCCACCCAGCTGCTTAGCCCCAAAATAATCACACAGAAACTGTATTAATTAAATCACTGCTTGGCCCATTAGCACTAGCTTCTTATTGGTTAACCCTTTTTTTAAATTTATTTATTAAAGATTTCTGCCTCCTCCCCGCCACTGCCTCCCAGTTCCCTCCCCCTTCCCCCGATCAAGTCCCCCTCCCCGATCAAGTCCTCCTCCTCATCAGCCCAAAGAGCAATCAGAGTTCCCTGACGTGTGGGAAGTCCAAGGACCACCCACCTCAATCCAGGTCTAGTAAGGTGAGCATCCAAACTGCCTAGGCTCCCACAAAGCCAGTACGTGCAATAGGATCAAAAACCCACTGCCATTGTTCTTGAGTTCTTTAACCTTCATCAGGCGATGAAAGGAGACAGAGACAGAGACCCACATTGGTGCACCAGACTGAAATCTCAAGGTCCAAATCAGGAGCAGAAGGAGAGAGAGCATGAGCAAGGAACTCAGGACCGCTAGGGGTGCACCCACACACTGAGACAATGGGATGTTCTATCCGGAACTCACCAAGGCCAGCTGGCCCGGGTCTGAAAAAGCATGGGATAAAACCGGACTTGCTGAACACATTGGTTAACTCTTATATCTTAATTAAGGTCATTTCTATTAATCTGTATATCACCAGAAGTCTTGGCCTACCAGCAAAGATTTGGCATGTCTGACTCTGGTGGCTACATCACTTCTCTCTACTTCTACCTTCTTCCACCCAGCATTCTGTTTAGTTTTCCCCTGCCTAGTTCTGTTCCCCTACAGTTCTGCTATAGGCCTAAAGCCGTTCTTTTATTAACCAATGAAAGCAACACATAGACAGAAGGATCTTCTACACCAAGATACCCTTATTTGTACTAATATTTATTATGAATAAATGTTATTGATATTTGACTATCTTCTCAGTTCCAATAAGGTTCAAGGTTTTTCTTTTTTTCTTTAAAAAAGCATTTTTTATGGATGGGATGACTGAACAGTTAGTTGATGTTCTTAAAGGCAATTACTACAGAGTCGATATCTGGGTACAGTGGCCATATTATCGACTGTGACTGTTGTCTCAGTTATTGTTGGTTCAGTCACTTACAGACCAGTGGACTTAAATGTATTCCCATAAAACTTTATATGTACACTAAACTTTGAATTTATGAAATTTTTCATCTCTAAAACAGATTAAGTTGTATATATTCTTCCTTTTTAAATTTCTTTTCAACTACTTAATGGCATAAAAACCATTCTGAATGCACATTTGGTATGAAAACAAGGACACAAGTTGGATGTGGCCCACGCACTGCGGTTTGCACACTCCTGGCATTAAATAACTAAGGGCTTAAATCCTTCATCTGTGTTTCATTGATTCACTCTGACTCTAATTTTAAACATCTTCTTTGCTGACCTTCTCTTTCTTTTGAGACACTAAAATGCCTCTTCAAAAAATGGCTCTCTGTATGCTCCAGATTATGCATTCAGAAAAGACTAAAACAATACCCCTGCCCCTGTCACAGCATTGACGTTTCCAAGGTCAACCAAACCCCTGGACATCTCTCTGTGCTCCTGAAACTCCCCCAAACACTCTTGTCCAGTGTGTGATTTTCTGTTAGCTTTTGATTGTTTAATTATTTTCACTGAAGTGAATGCAAGCTAAACAAAGAATGTTGTCTGCCTTTACAATGTGTTAAGAAATAATGAAGTATAAATTTGGGAGGTGGGTGTTGTGGGTGTATTTTATTGCTTTTTCTTTGCTAAAATATAACCTAGTGAGTTACCATACTGCCTGGTTTGATGATCATATAATCTTTACTTTCCATAATGATCAGTGCCTAATTAGCATGTTTTACTATACATGGAATCATTTTCTTAGTACTTAATTTCTATAAACTGTACTATGTAGATATGGCTATTGAGAAAAAAATAACCATTACAATAAAAGATTTTAAAAATATAAAAGTAAAGGCGATTTTAAATCAATACAATAAATCTACTTTTATCTCAGAATGGAGTCTAACAAAGCTAACCAAAAAGTAAGTTATTAAATTAAAATAGTTTTTCATTTCTTCCCAAATGACTATATATAAACCATTTTTCCTGCAAGTATCTCAATTACATTCTAATTGTGTTTTTCTATATTATGCTTATTCAATTTGATAGAGCGAAAGCCATCTGAAATGTTAAGAAAACATCAGAAAATACAAAATATAAGCATCACCATGTTCTTCTAGATGATATATATATTCATAACATTTACATCTAAATCCCTAATTCTGTTGATATTTAAGATGGCTTGAGGGTTAGAGATATAGCTCAATGGTTAAGAGCACACACTACGCTTGCAGAGTCCCATAGTTCTGCTCCTCAACATTCAAATCAAGAGATAGCCCACACCTGCCTTATAACTCTACCTCTAGGATTCCCTACATACTCTTCTTGCCATATAGTCACTCTCATGAAGAGGCACACGTTCTCCCAAACCCACACATTAACACAGATTTTTTTTACAAATAAAACCCTTTAAAGTATTATATTTATTCGTATCAAATTGAAACTGTGTGCCTTTCAGCCACATGAACTCTGATGGAGGAGTTAATTTCACTGGTTAATAAAGAAACTGCCTTGGCCCATTTGATAGGCCAGCCCTTAGGTGGACAGAACAGAATTCTGGGAGAAAGAAAGCTGAGTCAGGCAGTCGCCATGATTCTCCCACTCCAGACAGACACAGGTTAAGATCTTTCCTGGTAAGCCAGCTCCTGGTGCTACATAGAATATTAGGAATGGGTTAGATCAATATGTAAGAGCTAGCCAATAAGAGGTTAAAACCAATGGGCCAAGCAACGCTTAAAAGAGTACACTTTCCGTGTAATTATTTCGGGTGTAAAGCTAGCTGGGTGGCAGGACACAGCCCTGCCGCTCTCACTACTACAGAACTCCCTGAATGACCACAGACAAATATATAAATGTAGCTTTTCCAAAGTGACAAGGATTGCAATTCAAATGAATTACCCAATTAGAGAAGATAATAGTTGTTTCTGTAAATACTGTGTTTTGTATAAATTTATCCGAAAAAAAATTAAGCTCCATAAAGGTAATATAATCATGGTTTTCAATGAAATCACTGTACTGTAATGTTTAAAAATGGTTTAGCAGATCCAACTTAGGAAACTTTTGTTGTCTTCCTCCCAGGCTCTGGGCTGAATGATGGGCAGTGGCATGAGGTTCGCTTCCTGGCCAAGGAAAACTTTGCAGTTCTCACCATTGATGGGGATGAAGCATCGGCAGTTCGCACCAACAGTCCTCTGCAAGTGAAGACTGGCGAGAAGTACTTCTTGGGAGGTAGGAAAGCCATGGTTTAGGTCAGCGGATACTTTAAAAAAGAAGGAAAAAGTTTTCAAAAAGTGTATAAAGTACTTCCATCCAAGGAATCTAGTAGATATTAGAATAAATAAACAAGTTGTAATTAAGTTAAAAGGTTAAAGAAATTGCTGCTTCACCAAAAACACTGTTAATGTGGTGACCCCCCTACCTACCTTTTGTTTCAATCTTCAAAGCATAAAACCTGAGAGTCTGTGTAATTCCCAAAATACTCTTTTCCAGAATGAATGACAACTATGGATTAGTCACGCACTTTATAGAAAATTCTCCTAAACTTTAGTCAATACCCAAGTCTGTTTATATGAATATGTATTCCTATCTTGTATTTGCATCTTGTTTCCCTGAAGTTGTTAGAGTAATTCTACTTAAGAGCACATACCTTGTCTACCAAGTTTCCTGCCCTATGCCCTAGTCCAAAAGAAATTCCTGGAGTATGACAGATAGCAAATACTTATTTATAAACAAATTAGTAAACTCTGTAAAATAGAACAGAAAAGCATTTTATTTTAAATTATGAGAAAGAAGAAACATATACCCTGGCAGCCACTGACTGCTGAATATAAGACCATGTGCTCCTAGATTGGGAGTTTCTACCACTGTGGAAGTATAAGTTAGAGAAATAAATTCTGAGTTTGTCCTGAGTCATTAATCCATGATATTTCTTGGGTGTTCATAATACATGTTTGAAAGGTTCTTGGTGAATATTTGGTGAGTCAATGAAAATGAGAAAAGATGTCTTCTGAGTGAAGGAATAGAGTTGATTGACATAAACATAAGCCATTCATTTAAACCCTAGCTTCCCTCCAAGTATGGGTTGAACATAATCAGCTTTGGGCCAAGAGTTCCCATGGTTGTCATAGTAAATGGATTGCATTTGTCAGCGGAAAAGCTTCTGAAAGTCTCCACTAATCTCCGATCTGGAATGCTGTTGGCCATGAATGAGGTCATCAAAGGCCTATAGTAGTTCCTATCCATCTCAGTCCAGTGGATAGACAAATTGCTAGAGCCTCACATTTGTGGTGAATATGATTGGATGTGGTGTGCTGTGCTTTATTGCTTTATAGATTTGAGTTTTTAAAACCCTGTCAAGAGGATCTTGACTTCCTCTCGGGTCTTTGTTCTGCCTGCAAGATATGCCACCAGCATAGAATCATGATGGTTTTTTGATTACATCCTCCTCAGCTGAGTCCTGTAAGTGCATAAAAAACACATTGTAACTCCAAATCTCAGGCAGAACTGCTAGAACTTTAACATACAGGACGAGATACTGAACTATAACTTTGAGACACTGCAGAATTCTAAGCTTCAAGAGAATTTGAGAAATATGTTATCAAGAACAAAATGTAGATGAAGCTGAACTAATACCCACCCTGCGCCCCTGAGATTCCTCTGAAAGAAAGCAACTACCAGAAGTAGGAAAGAAGGAAGATAAAGAGTAATGGTGTTCCTGGTCTCTGAAAGCCTCAAGCAAAAGTTTGCACCAAGTGAAGCTCCTGACTGGGAGGCATCATCTTGATGGTTTCTAGTAGGGTGTGCCTCCACATTTCTGTGCCCGCTCATGGGAAATTGTAGGCCAGGCCAGGCTTCTGATTCTGCACTTTCTTTCCTTTGCTTTTGTGTGAGAACAGCAGATAGCAAAAAAGCCATATTTGGGGGTATTTCTTCAGCAAAGGAGGTCACAGCTGCTTTAGCTGTTATCTCTACCTCTCGACTGAAATTCCTTAACACTTCATTAATTTTAATAATTGAGATAAAAATAAAAGAGGCAATTATATTTATTTATCAACCAATTACTGGATAATAGTCTTTTAGATATTGGCCAGGGCCCATGGTTATGTATGTATAGCTTTAAATTTCTAACATTATTTAGGCCATCACTTTTAATAAACTCTGTGTTTTCATTTGAATGAAAACAGCTGGGTAAGAAAGTTTCCATTGGCTTCTATTGAAAAGTGGATGCCTGAAGAGTATAGGTTGGGCAGGCAGCTCACAAGAAGGTGGCAGACAAGGGAGGCAATGGGACAAGAGAGCTGTCTGAGTTTCATAGTACTGGCACTAGTGAGGTTTAATGGAGGGAGGGTCCATCCATGTCTAGTTTCTAATCTAGATACAGCAGTACACATGTCTAGCCATTGCCACCTATAGTAGCAGGGCCACATCGAGTGAGTGGCTTTAACCAGCCACATTTATTTCCCCACATTTTCTTTCTGAAGGCAAGAAATCCAAGATCAAAGTGCTGTTAGATGCAGTCTGTTGAGGCCTGTCTTCCTGACTTTTAGACTGTCCTTTTCTTATTGTGTCTTCATATTGCACAAGATGGAAGAAGGATTAGGAATGTATTCAGAGAACAAAAGAATCTCCATGTCTGTTCTTATGAGGAAGCTAATCTCGTTGTGAGGATTCCATTCTTAAGATCTAATTACCACCCAGAGACTCTCAACTTCAGACCTATACCATGGTAGGGGTGGGAGTAAGTTTCCCATATATAAATTCTGAGCAGGGCACACAGGCAGTCTGTAGCAATCGTCACCGAAATAGACCAGAAGTAGATAGATAGATAGATAGATAGATAGATAGATAGATAGATAGATAGATAGATAGATAGATAGATAGATAGATATGCAAATATACAAATAAAAAGTATTTCCCTTTTGGGTTTCTTTAGGAGGAATATCCCAGGTCTGGTAAGTTCATACTTACTAATAAAGTAATGTAATGCCAGCCTTCCTGTGTACATCTGAGCCTTTAAAAATTCTTTATGGACCCCACGTCCTCTATAATTTGTCACTTAAAGCCTCTAGATGGAGGCCCAGATGAAATACCTGGGTTAACTGGTCCATTGCACAATAGCTGAATAACTTGGAAGCACCTGACTTAAGTTCACATTTTTTAGGTTGTCTAAAGTAAGTTTTCTAACTTCTTTTTATTTCACTCCAAAAATCACAGAAGCAAGAAGTATTTTATCAAATGATATTTTTCAGTGATCTGAAAATGGGTAAAGGAGTTTGTGATGTGTAATAGATTCATAGGGCTGCTATTACAAGGTACCACAAACTCAGTGACCTCAACCAGCAGTCATTTATTCTCAGGTTTGAATACAGGAAATTGAGAAGGGTATGAGGTATCAAGGAGGTGTGTGTTCTCTTTGAAGGATGTAAGAAAAGAGTCCAATAGCTAGTGACAGTTTTTGGCAATCCATGGGACTCCTGTGACAACCATCATGTCTGCTTCTACCTTCAAATCCTCTGAGGGTCTGTGTCTATGTTTCCTTCTGATAAGGACACCAGGCACAGGTTTAGAGCACATCCTACTCCCACTCACCTCATAATTCCCTAGATACCTCTGGGATAACATTATTTCCAAATTAGGCCACATGCCCAGATCCAACTTAGAATATTAGCTGACCTTTTAGAACAACACAGACAGCTTATAATAAGGTTTAGGTTAGCTGTGTAAGTCGTTCTGTGTTGGTTACATTACTTGTTGCTTTGACTTCATACATGACAAGACAATACGAAGGGAGGGGAGTTTCATTCCTATTCACAGTCTGAGGACAGTCCTAATAGGGAAGTCATGGGGCCAGGTAGTGCTGTACAGGCAGGAGTGTATGTCAGCTGCTTGCTTACATCTCACTGGACAAGGAAGCAGAGAGAACACAGTAAGCATGCTTGAGCTATTAATCTGCCTATAAAATAAAATTATACCTGTTCCAACAAGGTCCCCTCTCCCAAATGTTCCTCAGCATTCCAAAACAGTACCACTAGCTGGAGTCCAAGTATTCAAATACATGAACCTATAGGGGGCATTTTACATTTAAACCATGAGACTCTCCAACTTCTGATTTTTCTCTTATGTGCTTTCAACGATGGATCTTATAGGAGTTAACAGCAATGACAAATTTAAGAAACTATAGCTAAAGGGAAGATTCTAACAAGCACCATGAGGGAGAACTAGAGCCTAGGGCACATGGGCTAAAATGATGGCTGTTGGCCAAATTTACAAATGGAGTTTTGTGACCTCTAAATTGTGCTGAATGTAGAAGTCTCGGGAGATCAATAGAAAATGTTTCTGAGAGAAGCAGAACTGGTGCATCTGAGTGTCCAAACCCATTACTTGTAAGTGTTAGACACCTCTGCATAAAACAAAACCAGTAAAAGGTATACAGTAGGGGAAGTCATCATTGTAATGAAAGAATCTACAGGTGTAAAGAAAGCAACACATGGGGGCTGGAGAGATGGCTCAGAGGTTAAGAGCACTGCCTGCTCTTCCAAAGGTCCTGAGTTCAATTCCCAGCAACCACATGGTGGCTCACAACCATCTGTAATGGGGTCTGGTGCCCTCTGCTGGCCTGCAGGCATACACACAGACAGAATATTGTATACATAATAAATAAATAAATAAATAAATAAATAAATAAATGAATAAATGAATAAATAAATAAATAAACAAACATAAAAAAAGAAAGCAACACATGGGTGAAGAGAGAATCACACAGAGTATGTATCAACAGTGGGAGCAAAGCCAGGGTGTGAAACAAGGGATGGGGGTCTGCCTTCCTTGTTGTGGATTTTCCTTTCTTTTCTTTTTTGAAGTCTTAAGATAATTTTTTATTTAATTAAAAAAACATTTTTTTCCATTTTATCTACCAACCCAGTTCCCCCTCCCTCACCTGGTCCCACTCCCCACCTCCTCCACCACATTCTTCCATTCACTCCTTAAATGGGACAAGGTCTCTCTTAGGGAGTCATCAAATTCTGGAATACCAAGTTGAAACAGAAACAAGACCTTCCCACCTGAATCAGCATGGGCAAGGTATTCCACCATAGGTAATGGACTTCAAAATGCCAGTTCTTTCACTGGGATAAGTCCTGGTCCCACTGCCAGTCCATACCACCACACACACACACACACACACACACACACACACACACACACACACACACATAAATAGATCAAGCCAA